AGCTGGCTCAGCACTTAGCATCCTGTCACTGCCCTGGTGGGTGGCAGCAGTACCATGGTTACTGAAGAGCTCTCCAAGCAGGGCGGTCAGCTGGGGACAAAGTGCTGTGTCCTCACGTGTAGGGCTAAGTGCCCGGCATGGTGTCCCCATGGCGTCCCTGGGAGGTGGGCAGGTGGCACCAGATCAGGGAGAGCTGTGTGTGGCTATGTGGCAGTCCTGGATGTGATCCAATTTACGTGAAGTTATAAGGCGGCCATGAACAAAGGATGCAGAAGAATGCTGGTGAGAGTTCTGCCAGGTCAGGCTGGCAGTGATGGAACTCTGGGCGACCTTGCTTTCTCCCTGTGTCTCTGTGTGAGTTCACTGACTGACTGACTGACTGACTCCCTTATTCAGAACACTCTTGATGTGCTGGGGTCAGTAGGGCCCATGGGCACCAGGCGGCTTCCAGTCCTTCAGTATCTGTTTGTTGGAATGGGGAAAAGCACAGGACCGTGAGGGCTTCTGGTCTCAACAGCACCCTGTGGCAGAGGCTGCAGGACCTGCTGAGTCAGGAGTGTCCTGGTGCTGAGCTGCGCCCCTCAGTGTGACCCCCGTGTCTGCGTCAGCATAGCTGTGGGTTCTAATCACGTACTGCCGCCCACAGAGCTCAGGGAATCCAGCACTGCAGCTGGACTCCCTACCTCTGAGCCTGGGAGCTCCGCCTTAGGAAGCCACGCCCACCCGGGGGCCACACCCACCAGAAGCCACGCCCTTACACCCATCCTTTCAGGCCACGCCCCCTCTGAGAGACCATGCCTTCCTCAAGACCTCGCCCTTCCCTGGGCCACACTCATCCAGTCCACACTCCCCACTTCCTCTCTGGGCTCCTCTCTTGGGGACCCGGGGACTCCCCTCTCCTTCTGTGCACAAGCCCCTCTCTCCGTGTTTGATCTGCTTGGTTCCCCTGGAGGGCAGCACTGTGACTGCTCAGCAGAGGTATGGCTCCAAAAGGTGGGGCCACCTTGGCCTTGATCCTGGACGCACTGGGGCTGGGCACAGTCCAGGAGCTCCCCGAGGTGCCAGCAGCGAGTGACCCCAGGAGCCACAAGAGTGATTCCTCCTGCCTGCGGACACCAGGTCCCCGGTCTGGGCCACAGCAGTGCCAGACGCCCTTGCCGTAGGACGGCCACACTGATTACGGCTGGAGACAGGTGGGAGCCAGGCATGGGCTAACTCCAGGGGAGTGGAGGAAAGGGGGCATGCTGCCCAGACCACAGACTGGCCGCTGTCCTCTACCCTCGTCTCTTTGCCAAGGCTCCTTGCCCAGGCTTCCACAGCTGCCCCTGGGCCAGGGCAGAGGAGGGAGGTCCTGGCCTTGCAATCCCGCCCTGGGGGCCACAGAGACAGAGGGGCAGGTCACAGGAGCAAAGCGGGGATGAGTTACCCCAAGGCGCAGGTAGGATGCGGACACCTCTACCCTGTGTCCAGGTTCCTAGCTTTTCCTGCGTGTCAGCTGTGTTCCTGATGCTGTGTTTGTGTGTATGTGTATGTGCATGTGTGTGCTTTGTACATGTACTAGGTACACAAAATGCACATCATGCATGGTATGCGTGCATCTATCACGCACCTATAGCTCTATTGTGCTTGGAAAACACAGTGCACCCTCAGCCCAAGCAGGGCCTCAGTGGACCAGTCCAGCCTGGGCGTGCACACTCTGGGGAAAACACAGCTTTTTCTCCATCACCGAGGGAGATACACGATTAAATATAAATCCTCCGCCAAGTGTCTTCAGAAATCAAGTGCTCTGTTTATCTCTGCTTAATGAGGCTGTCAGGGTAACCTGTATTTATTGAGCCACAAGTAGGCTATAAAACTTCCGTTAATGACTGGAAGTAACTCGGTTGTCATAAACAAAGAGGAAATTAGCATGTGGTTCTCCCGGGCTCTGAGAAGTGCGGTCCTGCTCCAACCATGCCGCTTCTGGCCCCGAGGTCAGGGTCTCAGAGGGCTCGCCCTACGCGGCCGGGGCTGGTGGACCCTGGGGCTCCGTCCCCGAGTGTGGGGAGCACCCGGGTCCTCCCTCACCGCCCTCCCGGCACCCACCCAGGACCCCTCCCCAGCAGCCTTCCTCGACTACACTCCACCAGCTCGCCCGAGCAAGGCGGCTTCTCCTAGGAACGTGGCGCAGGTCTGCGGAGTGAGGTTCTTGGCTTCCTCCCGAACACCCAGGAAGGATTTCCTCATGGAGATGGAGGCAGGCGGATGGGAAAAGCACTGTTTTGTGGTGGATACGCACCAGCTTCCCCCTGTGAATGCTCCCTTTTACACGCTGCCGTGTGGACTGACAAAACAGTTTCAGGAACAGGACAAGCAGCGATCCTATAAACCACAGCTTCGTGCATCCGTAATGCAATGATTAGCAATGAGCATCGGGCACCGAGTGGGTTAAAGAGCCACTGTGACTCTCCCCGGAGAATTCTCAATCTCCCTGGGCACAGAGCTTAAAAGCACATTTCTGGCATCTGTCGGAACAGGCCCAGGGCCCGGAGTCTTCTATGTCATAAAGTGGATGCCAGAGCAGGTGCTGGCCTACTTGTCAGAGGCAGATCTGATTCAGTTCTGTCCTGGGGACCAGTCGGGGCAGTGTCAGGCTCTTTCTGAACAGGAGGGTCGCTGTCCATGGCACGCTGAGGCTGAAGTTTGTTTTTGTGAACACCCGGAAAGGCAGGTAGCTTCGGACCCATGCCCCGAATTCCTGGTTTAGAGTTGGTCTCGCCCCAGATAGTCCCTCGTGCAACCTTTTATTTTATTTTATTTTTGGTACGCAGTTTCGAACTCACAACCTCGAGCTTGCCAGGCAGGCGCTTACACCGCTGAGCTACATCCCCGGCCTGTGCAACTGTTATTTAAACCCAAACTGTGTTGCTCCCCTGTGATGATATCGCGTGTGATGATGACTTCCTAACAATGCAAATGCAGTGCCCAGGGCCGTCCACGAGAAGCGACTGTCCGTGTCCATTCCTCTGTCCGTGTAGACTGCTCGAAGCGTCCATGTGCCCAGGCCTCCTGTGCCACCACCAGGTCGGCAGGTCACAGGAAAGCCGACCTCCTCCGCATCTAGCCACGCACTCTGTTGAGACGTGTTCTGGAGAGGATTCCGGAGCCAGCGTCAGGGGCCAGCTCCAGAGTCCTTGCCCCTGGGAGCCACATGGCACCCTCTGCCCAGCTGGTGCTACTGTGGGCACAGTGGGAGCACCCCTGAAATCCCAGCTGCCAATGCTGGCCCTGGCCAGCCTTGTGGGCAGCCTCACCAGGGAGAGAGCTGGTCATAGGCTCTGGCTGCTTCGAGGGGAGAGGCTTGTGGTTTTGGTCAGTGGTCAGCTGGTCCCAGGGGAGAGACTGGGCATCAGAGGGGAGAGAATGGTGCTCACCCTGGGCAGCCCAGAAGCAGGGAGAAACGGGAAGAGACGGAGCTGGGGACAAGAATGCACCCTTCTGGGTCACATCCCCGTAACCACCTGCGGCCAGACCCCACGTCCTAACAGCGTTGGATGGGCACAGCACCCCCATGATCCAGCCACCTGCCATGCATTGGGGAGCTGGGGGTGTCCTAGACCTAAACATAGCAGATCCTGCAGATGGGCTGAGGCCACTGTATCCAATGCAAGGGGTGTAAAATTGTCTGTGGTGTGGTGCTCTGGGTCAAGGACAGGCCTGTCCCTTCTTCTGCGGGCCCACCTGAGGTCACTGCCTTCTCCTCCTCTTGCCCTAACACTGGGGTGTCCTCCCTTGTCTCCTCTGATCATGCTAGCCAAAGCCTTAGAGGCCAACAAGCAACCTTGTCCTTGCTGCCTGACGCAAGCCTGGGCCGTGTTCCCGGTCCTCACCTGCTCCTCTGTCTTCCTGGTCACTTCAGGTTTCCAAAGTCCTCATCTCTCCCCAAGGGACAAAAAATAGAAAACGCATCAGGGATCTCAGCTTGCCCAGCGTTCTGGCCGATCAACGAATCCCACTGTGCACACCATTACCCTAGGCTGCCACTACACCTGTGTCTTTGCATTTGAAGCTTTGTAGAGAAAGGTGAGGACCCACCAGGGAACCGTAAACCTGGGCGTCCTCCCCCGGCAAGGAGCAGTCCCCAGTGTCCCGGAGAGTAACCGGTGTGGGCAGGAAGGCAGAGGAAGAAAGGAAGGAAGGTAGAAAGAAGGAGGGAAGGAAAGAAGGGGGGACGGTGCAGTGACAGCTGCTGCCCGTGATGATGGCTCACCTTGGTTCATTTGCTCTCACCGGGGTTTGGCTGGGGCAGGCGGACACCGAGACACAGTGGCACATGCTGCGTGGCGGTGATGTGTGGAGCCAGGTTAATCAGCTCCAGTGCCAGACGTGTCCTGGGAAGCTGGGGCAGTGTCCGGCCCCGTCCTGCTGGGGTTCGGGTCCTGCTGGTCTGCTCATGAGGGGTGTGGGACCTGGGCACTCCGCTGGCTCCCTGGCAGTGCCAGGTCCCGACCTCACAGGGCGTCTGTGGGCTCTGAGCACATGGCCCGTGTCCAGGCTCCTGGCCCCGTCCTGAGCTAGCACCCACTGGGGCGGGATGCTAGGTTACAGGTTCAGGGTTCCCGGTGCCCGGGAGCCTCTCCTGAAGGTGCCTCTTCATCAGAGAGTCTGCTTTTGCATTTTTAGCATTCTTCGCTTTTCTGATTTCCCAGCGTGAGGGTTTTCGGGGCGAGTTTTGCGCTGTGTTTTAGTTAACAGCATAAACCCAGTCCGGGCCACTCCACCTCCTCCTGTAACTGTAGTTCACTCAGGGCCAGGGCCCACCCCCATTTAAAGGTGGGGAAGAACGGGACAGAATCGCACAGACAGCCTGGAAGATGACTGCAAACTTGCGCTTAGATTCCCCATGCCTGAGCTCACACCCACAGGGCGTCCTGTGCCAGTGAGGTCACCGAGTCCCCAGACCCAGCAGTCCCCGGGGCTCCCAGCGCTGACTCAGCCCTCCTCGCTTCCTGTCCCCACAGGGCCAAGGTGAAGAAAGGCGTGAGCATCGCTGGCATTAGGGCCAGCAGCCCCTCCGTCTGGGACGTCAAGGAGAGCTCAGAGTCCACTGGGAAGTACGCTCCTGCTGTCATTGTGTGTCACAAGAAATCCGCCTCCGCGGCCAACAGGTGAGTGGTCAGGGTGGGTGTGTGCGGTGTGCCGTGGTGGTGTCTTTGCTGCCCTGGCTTTGTTTCTGCCGTGGTTTGCATGTGGGGTGCGTGGCCTCCATTAGCTGCGGCTGCAACAGAGGCAGAGGGAGCCCCAGTGTGGACGCCTCGGGCTGTTATTCCCCTGGCCCTGCTTCCCACCCAGGCTCGACGCTGGGCCGCCCTGGTGCCCTGCAGGTGGATTTCGTCTACAGAAATGTTCCTCGTCAGCACAGCCCCATTCTTACCTGTGTTTTGGGGCAGACAGGGCATCACTTGTAATGCATCCATTTTCCAAGTGTTAAAAACACGCATGCATAGCTCTGTGTGAGCCCGGTGTGTATGCCACGTTGGCCGTGTGGATTGAATTCCTGCGAGGCGCTTTCTGAGGGGACAGCGAGCTGTCTGCCGTGGAAATGCAGGAGCTGTGAATCACTCCAGGGACAATTTAAACTCGGAGTCTGTCTGTCTCTGATAGCTGCCAAATTAGAGCCGGTCGGTTCACAGCTGGGCAAAGAGACTTGGATGCTCAGCCATGCTGATTATTCTACTTTCCCGGAAGCTCGCTGTGGCTCTGGAGAATCTTGAGTCTGGTCACATATTTTTGTCACTCTTCAGTTTATATTTGTTCTTTATTTTACCAAAAATTTGAGCCGTCACGCAAGGATGGATGTACGTGTGTAACACATTACTTTGAGAACGCAGTTCGAAGCCTTGTTTCTCAGCGCCAGGAAAGTGTTTGGGTTTCCATTATTTAATAAACACAGGGGTAATGAATCTCAGTTGATAGCTATTACTTTTTTTCTTGGTTCATTACCAAGGAGCGTTTGAAAGCAGTGCGGGGAGGATTTGATGTGAATTCCCCTCTGTGCCCCATTGTCAACACCAGAGCCGGGGATCTGGGCCGCCCGCAGTGCTGGTCTGTGCCGCTGTCCTGTGGCTGCGCTCCAGTGAGCTCTTTTCCTCCTGGACGCAGGCTCAGAACAGAGGAGGGGGAAAGGAGGAGGCTGGTGTTTGAGTTCTCACTGCAGCATTCATGATGGCAACAGCAGGTGACGCTCACGCCCTCACAGGTTCTGACTGACCTAGCCGATGTCCATGCCAGACACGCCAATGGAGGGATGGACAAATGGATGGATGGGTGGATGGATGGATGAATGGGTAGATGGGTGGATGGATGGATGGATGGGTGGGTGGATGGATGGATGGGTGGGTGGATGGATGGATGGATGGGTGGATGGGTGGGTGGGTGGATGGATGGGTGGATGGGTGGATGGGTGGATGGGTGGGTGGGTGGATGGATGGATGGGTGGATGGGTGGATGGGTGGGTGGGTGGATGGATGGATGGATGGGTGGATGGATGGGTGGGTGGGTGGATGGATGGATGGGTGGGTGGATGGGTGGGTGGGTGGATGGATGGATGGATGGGTGGGTGGATGGATGAATGGGTGGATGGATGTCTGGATGGGTGGGTGGATAGATGAATGGATGGATGGGTGGATGGATGGATGAATGGGTGGGTGGGTGAATGGGTGAATGGCTGGATGGGTGGGTGGGTGAATGGGTGAATGGGTGGATGGATGGATGGGTGGGTGGATGGATAGATGGGTGGGTGGATGGATGGATGGATGGATGGATGGCTGGATGGGTGGGTGGATGGGTGAATGGGTGGATGGATGGATGGCTGGATGGGTGGGTAGATGGGTGAGTGGGTGGATGGATGGATGGGTGGATGGATGGGTGGATGGATGGATGGATGGATGGGTGGGTGGATGGGTGAATGGGTGGATGGATGGATGGGTCAGTGGATGGATGGGTGAATGGGTGGATGGATGGATGGATGGGTGGATGGGTGGGTGGATGGATGGATGGATGGGTGGATGGATGGAGGGATGGATGGATGGATAGATGGATGGGTGGGTAGATGGGTGAATGGGTGGATGGATGGATGGGTGGGTGGATGGATGGGTGGATGGATGGATGGGTGGGTGGATGGGTGAATGGGTGGATGGATGGATGGATGGGTGGATGGATGGATGGGTCGGTGGATGGATGGGTGGATGGATTAATGGGTGGATGGGTGGGTGGATGGATAGAAGGATGGAAGGATGCATAGATGGATGGATAGACAGACTGATGGATAGGTATGTGGGTGGATAGACAGATGGAAGAGTGGATGGGTAGCTGGGTGGAAGGATGGATGGATGGATGGGTGGGTGGACGGACAGACTGATAGGTATACTGGTGGATATATAGATGGAAGAGTGGATGGACAGGTGAATGGAGGAATGGAAGGACAGTTTTGTTTTCTCAGGAGACTCAGTTAAAGTGAAAGGGCCTTATCCAATGTATATTTATTTTTTTTGCTGTCTCTGGCCCTGGGTTAGGAGTAGTAGACGTTAGTGATGTTCATGAAATGCAAAGGGATTTGAAGCACTAAACATGTCACTTTTCTTCCTTTGCTCTTGAGTTTCCGATTAATCAGATTGGAGCTGGCGATGGAGAAACTCCCCCGGGTGTCCTCCCATCCCACTTCTGTGCGGCCTGCTTTTCCAGGGTAGACTCCTGGCCCCAGGCTTCGGAAATCTGCACCCTAAATGCACACGGTATGGAGCTGGTGCTTAGTTTACCATGCTCTGTCTCCTTAGCTTCGTTGAGAGAGGTCCCGAGTGGCACAGCCGGGGACCCCTTGGAAAGACCTGGAGCCCTGACACACGCCAGGGAGAGGCTCGGGTCAGGGTAGATTCTGTGACCCTGAAACCAGTTTTCCATAGTGGGTCCAGACGGTGGAAGCAAGTTCACACATACACACGCACACACACAGATGTGTTTGTGCAACGTGACAAGTGTGAGTGCATGAAGAAATACATATTACATGTGCACGTGATATAGTCGTGTCAGTTCACACATGTGTGCACGCACATCCATCTGATGTGGGAGGGCTGTAACTGTGAATCTGTGCCCTTATGTGCTATCAATCCCATGCTAATGAGGAGAATCAGGACAGAAAGTGGCTGTGGGCTGGACATCAGTTCCTGTCTGCAGCTGTGTCCTGAGCCTCTGCGCTGATTGCAAGTGTGCGTCTAGTGACCGTCTGGGAGGAGACCGTCCCTGCTGGTGAGTGTGTCGGGACCACACCCTGCCTGTGAGGTCCCCAGCCCCCCTGCTCTGAACAGGGAGGTGCACACAGCAGGTCCCTTGCAGCTCCCTGCAGCAGAAGTACGGAGGAGGATCTGTCAGGACCCGAGTTCCAGGGAGGCTGGCCACTTCGATTCCATGCCATCAGATGGGAGCCGGGACGCTTCGGCCATCGGAACATGAACTGCTGAGAGCAGCCCCACCATTCCTGTGCTCTTTAGATGTTTCTCCTAGAACCAGCTGGGTGATGAGGGTGCAGGAGGGCCTCTCCATCTGCCTGGGGCACAGGTGTGGAATTGCTGATTTCCCAGCTAAGGATCCCAGCTGCTTGGCAGGTGTGAGGTTGGGGTTAGCAAACCCCTGGGGAGCAGGCGTCTCTTACTGCATTTGAAATGCATCTGTCCCCTTGGGAACCGCCTGGAGGCTGGGAACTTGGCACCCGCAGAGCTTTGAGATGCCAAGGTGATCCCAGCTCTCCGGACTGTTGGGACCAAGGCTCACGGCACCAGCCTGTTACCAGAAATATGAGGGAATTGCTAATTAGGGTCCCACCCGCAGCGGAGCCTGCTCTCCAAGGCCCCACATCAACTCCGATAAATAGGGACCAAAAGCCCTGGCCTTTCGCTTCTTTGCAGGCTGCTGACCTGTTTCACGAAGCTCACGGCAGAGGCTGCCGAGGACAGGGGGTGACAGACATGGGTGGCAGTGACAGTTCCCAGGCTGGCGTGGCCCGAGAACCAGGCGTCCCCTTAGAGACCGTGTGTGTCCTCGAAGCCTCAGCTGCTTGCCAGTCTCGGAGACACAGCGAGAGAGCAGAGCTGGAACCGGGTCCCAGACTGTTCTGTGCACTGCCAGCTTCCCACTCTGTACGGGGTGCTTTTCATTGCGGAGCAGACACGGCCAGGTGATAAGCCAGCTGGTGTTTGACTGACGCCCGGATGGAGGCAGAGGCCAGTGAAATCTTGCCCGATGCACACTCAGAGCAGAGCTCACCATACGGCATGGACACATCTCACATTTGTCAGCCTCCAGGCGCGCTGTTTAACTTTCCTGAAGCAAATTTGAGTGGCGTCAATAAGGAAGCAAGGTGTTTCTTTCTAACATATAAAAGAAGCCATGAAGGACCTGGCCGGGCTGGGGTGCAGTGCATTGGCCTCCCGGGCACCCAGCACACCTCTGCACCGTGCTGACATGTGGCTTATGTCTTCACGGATTAAGGAGGCTGTGGGAGCACCAGCCATTGCATCAGCAGCACAAGCCAGACAAAGCTGACGGTGAGAAGGACTTTGGCTGAGAAAACTCACTTTGTGCAACCTTCCCAGACACTTCAGTCAGCCTCCTTCTCACTTGCGCTTCATTGGTCAGAGCACGGTCACACGGCTACACCAGACCTCCGGGGAAGCGGGGAGCCAGTTACTCTGGCTGTGGAAGGGCTGGACAGCCAGCAGAGCCTTCAGCTCCCGGGTCTCCATGGAAACGCATATACGCATATTAGCATTGTGTGAGAAACTTCGGGAATGTTCCTTATGGTTAGGGCGGAGAGTGGACACAAAGACAGAGACCTCAGGCTCGCCTTTTGTCAGAGAGAAGGGAGTGGACGTGAGATTGGAGGTTAGATCGTAAACCGTGCAGGACCTGCCGAGCCAGCAGCTGGAGGAGCCCGGCGGACATGAGTGCGCGGTAGCCATGGAGCTGTCCCTCTGGACGGGGGACACGGGCCTGCTGCGCTGGGTGGGGGTACAGCGAGGGACAGGACACCGAGAAGGCCGATGTCCAGAGCTGGGTGAGTGCCCCGGGTGAGGAAGGATTTAGGGAAAATCACCGAAACACTGACATGGGCATT